ATGTAGGTACAAACCAAGATCTTTGGGAGTTCATGGGAGGAAGAGAAAACTGAAGGCTTCTAAGAAGGCATAACCCAGAAATGGTACTTGATTGGACTGAAGGCTGGACAGGACTCTAACAGCCAGAAGGAAGGGGTGTAGGCTGCCTGCTTTCTGTCTTCCCTGCTTCAGGCTCAGAGAATCTTCACAAAACACTGCTTTGATCATGCCATTGGCTGGCTCAGAAACTTTGAATACCTTTTTCTGCTTCTACTGTAACAGCCGAGCTCTCCCTAATTGGCCCTCGCATACAGTTATTGTACTAGATGGCTTTTAAGGTCATTTCCAAACCTGAGTCTGTGATTATATAATTTTGCTGTGATGGTTTTACTTTCCACAGCTTTCTTACATGCCTCATTTTTCAACCTCCTGGCTTTGCTGATACTACACCGTTCTCTTGGAACGCACTTGGTTGTCTTCCTGTATTCAAATTTTACTTTTCTTCTAGTTTTCTGTGAAAGTCTCAGATCACATCAGACCAGAATAATCCCTTTTTGTTTGTCTCTGAACATGCAGAGCAATTACCATGCATGGGATTTATTAGGTGAATGGTCACACACCCCTTGGCACCCTCTCCTGTGATTTGAATCTTTTACTGCGCATGCTCACAGACAAGGGCAGAAACAAATATGCAAAGAAAAAAAATGAGCTACGTGGTAACACAGGTTTCTTTTTTCTTCGAATGTCTTTCAATGTGTTCTTATTTTTATAAAAATTAAAACCTCTTGTTACGTACTTTTAAAGTCATTGTGCCTCAGAGCATTAAACTGATAAACCTAATTTGGTGTTTTAGTGTTCTGGAAAGCCTTCCGTAGGACTTGGTTGTAGCAGGAATTTATACGCTTAACAACACACGTACACACACAGTAAGAAGCTGTGGGGCAGTTATAGCTCACATTTGAAGCAGAAGCACTGGATAGGGGGCTTTGTATTACATCCTCACATGTTTATCCTTGTAGAGCTAATTCTTTGTTTGTTCTTTGTTCCTTGTGTTTTGTGTATGTATCTCACCACCCACATTAGATAAGTTATAGGCTTCTGATTACCTAGTTCATGTTCATATCTTCCACAGAGCTCCTTGCAGATAGCTGGTGCCCTCAAATTTTTGACTTATGTCAGGTGAACATTATATGTACCTAGGTCTGTTTTCCAACATTGCACAGACACCCTGTTACGGACCTATGGCCAAGATTATGTCCAAAGGCCCAAGTTCACTTGCAAGTCCTTACACAATTTTCCATTAACACATTTTTAAGTAAGTATTTTGAAATGCTTTCAGATCAGGTATCATTGCAGGCATAAGGATTATGATAAAGGGTGTTTTCTAATGAGGCAGCTTATTTTTTACGATGTTACTTATGGAGTCACTTCAAGTACCTAAATATGTCATTAATAACATCTTTGGGTTTATGGGGCCAGTTGCTACAAAAAGAGTATTCTTTAGATCAGGGTTGGATATTTATAACATCATTCGTGGGCCATACAAAATTATCAACTTAAAAATTAGATATGAAAAAAGATCCTAGATTTATTGAATTTTGAGTCCCACCTGCAGTTCCTCTAGCAGGGCTAGACCTATATGGCCTGTGGGCCAGACATTCCCTACCCCTGCTTTAGATGGAAAGTAAAGGTAATTTAGTACTTGTTCTAACACTAATATTTGAGGTTGGCTATAAAATAAATCTCTTTCTTTCTTAATATTCTTACATGTGCATCATTTAGTAGATGGAGACTCCATCAGTGGAAGTGCCTTCAACCAGTGTAGCTCATAAAGCTTCTGAGAGTAACTGCATCTCCGAGGCATGTTGGATCTAAAAGGAATCTAAGAAACAGCTTGTCTGGTCCCTGACCTCTTTGCCTCTCTGTTTTTTAACACACACACACACACACACACACACACACACACCCCACACTTTACAGTTGAGAAGCTGAGGTGCATTTAGGTCAGACCCTGCCTCGGGTCACATGAGGAGTCATCAAGAATCTCTGCACCTTTTGCTTTATATTCAGTCCCTTTTCTCTTATGTGATTTTAAGGGAATCTACACAGAAATCAAGGTCCCCAATAGTTTGGGTCTGGTGTAGTTTGGAGTTATCACCACGAGTCAGTGATTTATTTTAAAATATTTTCCATTAAAAACACACACACATGCTAAACACAATTATGGTACTTGGAAGAGGAGGCCATACCTAGGAAGAAGGCATGATCACATTATATTAGTATCTTTCTCATTTCTTCCTGGAAGAGAGGAAAGCCTGCAGGGGAAAGATCCGAGGCCCCAGACGGACTAGTGCTGTAGGCACACTCCATGTTCAGGGCTTGGTGGGCAGCCAGAGGGCAGTGTGGGTGCATCAGACCCCTGGTCACAGACTGACACAAACTCGATCTTGTTCACAGCCTCACCCAAAACCTGGAACAACGTAGATTTGGATTATGTAGAGAGATGGTTGGAGAGAGATGATGTTCATAGTGATTGAGGGACTTACGCATTTAACTAAAAACTTGAAAAATAACAAAAAACGAGGAAAGAAATAAGCTAAAGGTCTAGCATGAGCACATTGAAAATAAAAAATACACACAAAGTATCTTTAGCTATCAAATAGGGTGAAGCCTTTCACTTCCCAGCCCTTCCCCAGCCTCAGGCCTTTCACTCCCCAGCCCTTCCCAGCCTCACTTGAGTGTAGAATACGAGTTTTCACGAGTCTGAGTGAAGGGAAGCAGCTTAAACACATCATGGGAGATTATGAAAGATTGCTATTTTGAACAGCTGTTGTACTTGTGCTGTTGATTTCTGATGTACCCCTGAACCATAATATCCTATCACTTTAAATAGTTGATTCATGACTTGACCTTTTCTTCTATTTTAGGCTATTTTATTGATCTCCTAAATAGCTTTTAAAAACTACGAAGTCACCAATTAGAGGTTTCAGTATTGCTAATCTTCCCAGAATAACCAACATGAGGTGTGTTTCCTTATATCGATAGATGTTTACTCATGGGTTCACCAGAAGAAAGCCTTCATTCTTATTTTTTTTAAATTATGTTTTTATTGATTCTAGAGAGAAGGGAGAGGGAGAGAGTCATTGATTGGCTGTCTCCTGCATGCTCCCTACTGGGAATCGAGCCTGAAACCCAGGCATGTGCCCTGACCAGGAATCGAAATGTGACCTCCTGGTTCATAGGTAGATGCTCAATCACTGAGCCACACCAGCCAGGCAAGAAAGCCTTCATTCTTTTGAGAGATAGAGGAACACAGTGCCTGGGGATGTGGGCTCTGGGGCTAAATCATCTGGGTCATCTCTGGCTCTGTACCCCTGTGTGTCATGTCGTAATGGTGTCAACCTCACTGGCCTTTTTATTCAACAGATATTTGTTGAACTCAACTACAGTGTGTGCCAGGTAGTTTCTAGGCACTGGGGATATAGCAGTGAGTGAAACAGACAAAATTCTCTGCTCACAAGGAGATCACATTCTAATGGGTGGAGACAGACCATAAACAGCACACAAAAATTTGGCATATTATGTCGTGTATTTGAAGGTGGCAAATGCCATGGAGAAAAACAGAACAGTATAGGGGGCAGGAGCCCTGGAAGAAGGGAGGGATGCAATTCTGACAGAGTGGACATGGAGTGTCTCACCAAAAGGATGACTTGCAGGAGGTGATGTTGGGGCCATGCTCATATCTGGTGGAAGCTTATTCTAGGCAGAGAGAGCAACTAGCATAAAGGCTTTGAGGTGGGAGTATGCTGGGTGGGTTAAAAAAAAAACAAAAAAGAATGGAGATCAGTGTGGCTGGGCCTCTCCAGTGAACGAGGTGGAGAGTAGGAGGAGATGAGTCAGAGAGGCAGAGGTGGGGGTCAGTTGAGTGGGACCTTGTGGACCATTGAAGGACTTTGACTTTTACCCAGGGAATGGTGTTGCAGGAGAGTAGAGAGTTTTCAGCAGAAGAGTGACAGGATCTCCTTTTCAAAAGGATCACTCTGGTTTCTGTGCTGAGAATGGATGTTAGGGGGACTGGTGTGGAAGCAGAGACCAGAGAGTAAGTGATTGCAACAGTGAAGTGAGAGAGCACTGTGGCAAGAACCAAGGTGGTAGCAATGGAAGTGGTAAAAAGATGTTGCCTTTTAAATACATTTTAAGGAGTAGCATCAGTAGCATTTGCTGATGATCAGATACGGAGTGTGAGAGAAAGAGGAATCAAGAATTTGGGTTTAAGCACTTGGAAATATGGAATTAAGAAGGGGAAGACTGTGGGTGGAGTTCAGTTGTAGCATATTAAGTTTGAAGTGCCCATTAGACATCCAAGTGGAGATGTTGAGTTGTCAAAAACATATATGAGTCTACAGTTGGGGAGATAGGTCCAAGCTGGCTTTGTTCTATGAGAGTTGTCAGAATATAGTGGAATTCAAAGCAATGAGATTGGTCAGTGTCACAAAGAGTTTGGGATCTGGAGGCAGACTAACTTGTACCACCACTTATTAGCTGAGTAACTTTGGGAAATCCATTTAGCTACTCTGTGACTTAGTCTCTCCGTCTTTAAAAAGGAAAGAATAGTAGTAACTACTTCACAGGATTAAAATGAATTAAAATCATTAATATCTGTAAAGCACTTGGAACATGGCATATACTTAATAACTGTTAACTGTTAATTTTCAGTACAACTACTCTGCAGACCTGCAGGAAGTCCCGAATACTTGCATTGACTCCTATTGTTATTGATGCAGCAGTACAGTTGTGCCTCCTGTGGTGTTATTATGTTTTTGTTTGTGACTGTTAATTGGGACTAAGAATTCCACTGAGTTGGTTTTGCTTCCAGAATTAAACTGACCTGGATTTTTGATATTAGCTCTGCCTCAGTCGTTGATACATTCTTAAAGCCTGTATATATGTTAGTGTCTGTTACTTGTTCAGAAAAAAATCTTACAAGTTTCTTCAGTGCTGCTCTCCTTTGCTTTTCTCAGTGCTCAGCAGAGGAGCAGTCAGGTTCACAAGAAAAACACAATTGGAAATCAGGTAGGAATTGCTTAAAAGAATCAGTGCATGCATGCCCCAAAGAGTTTGAACTAAATCGCTTGATTGACTATTTTTTTTAAATGCCAATTAATCCTGTGCAAATTTTGTTGGAAATGCAGCTTTCAGTTTTGTTTTTTGGCCTTTAAAGTTTTTAGAGTGACTTGTTTTTATTTTGCTATATTATACAGTTAACCCTATTGATTTATTTTAAATAACTTTTCTGCTATTGGCTCTGCTTTTCAAATTTGACTCCCTGTGTCCTACTTTGCTTGCTTACATTACCAGTAAGTTTGATTTAACATCAAATCTGTGAGTCAGTTGAAGGTTAAAATATGGTGAGTAGTTGCATGAGCTTTCTGATGCTACTGACTAGTTCACACGTTTCGCACAGCTTGGTAACAGTGAAGGGACAGCTCATAGAGAAGGCAGTTGTTGCATTTCATCGCTGCCATACCCAATTCCTGTTGGTTAATAAAGATGTTAATTCCTCAGAAGATCTGATCTTTTGAGTTTTTGCGCTTTGGGCTGACTAATAGCACTCTACAGAGATTGCATTAACTCCGACAGTTTGCTGTTTCTCTTATGTTTTATGTGATAATGAATATTTGCATTGTTATTTCTTTTCAAGTCAAAACAATGATTACTTTATAGTTCTTTTTTTTTTTTTTAAATTCAGAGGTACAATTATTGAACAAATTGAAACCTCTGCCCTAGATTTTTTTCATTGTTTTGAAAGGAGAAGAGGTAATAACAGACTTTATTTTAAAAACTTTTTTTCTGAACTAAAGCATATAATTCTTTGCTATTTCAGGGAACCAATCTTCCGCCTTCAAGGCAAATTGTACGAGCTAAGTTCTGTAAGCTTTACTGTTGCTTCTTCATTTAGCTTCCCATGGGCACAGTTTGTCTTTAACTAATTAACTCAACTAGCGCTTGCTACTAATGTTTTTTAAACTTAGGTTGTCTTGTTCATAACACCCTATCATTGAAATAAAAATCCTCTTAAGCGGGTTCATCCCTTCACTGCTAATAACTTGCTGTGATTCAAAGGTATGAACTAGTAAACTCTAAAATGCTGTAGTAATAAACCCTTAACATTGTGGGTGCTTTGGTATTTCTCTAATTTTAATGGGCCTTAAAATAATTAAAATCATTAATTATCTCCATCTCTGTCCTTTTATGCTATGTTGTTATATGGTGTAAGCCCTTGTATGATACTATTTCCAATAAGTGTCGATGATGCTCCTAAAAGGTGGGTGAATATTGAACATCTGATTTGTTGTATTTGTTGACAAGCCTTCCCAATCCCAATTATTTGTATTTATTTTTTAAAATAATAAAACAAAGCCACATTTATGTTGGTTGCAGTTTTATGTTGCTTTACAGTTGACTCTTATAAAGCCAGATATTCTATCTTCATTTTGTGGAAGTATAAAGATACTGTCAAATTACTAACATAGTCATTTTTGGGGAAAAATGGTTCCATTCTTCCATGGATGAAGCAGCCTTAAAGTCCTCCCTCCAATTACACACAAGTTGAGAATGGGACTGGAGCATGGGCCAATAATTTGCCCCATGCTGTTTCGGAATAAACAGACTTTGGAGCTAGATATCCCTCCGTTCAAATTCTGACCTGTCGCTTAGTAACCATGTGGCCTTGGACAAACTGAGCCTGAGTTTGCTCAGTCATGTGATGGGAAGAACAGAAAATATCTGCTGGGTGATTGGGAGGATCTGATGTAATGCACACAGTGAGGTTTGCCCCTGGATCCTGGGTATGTGTCCTGTAAAGAGCAGACATCTTGCTTCTAGGAGGTAGGTGCTCCTTCTTGAAACTTTGGGGAGAAAACACGTAAGGTATAAAAAAATAATAAAAGTTCTAAAATGCGAACAGTGAACACTTTGGAAAATTAGAAGCCATGAAAAATTATTCCAAAGATTGCAACCTGCAGATTAAGGCTGGATGTGATGTAAAAGGATTTGCCTATAAAACTTTCCTTATGGTCAGAAGTATCTCTAGCTCACATAAGTACATACTTATTGGAAAAGCAATGATATAGTGACATAAATGCATACTCTAAATCAGACCTGAAAGGAAACTCTGAACCAGTGTTCACTTATATTATTTCCAAATGCTCTAGTCCTGCTAATGTATTTTTGTGACTTTACTTTTGCTGAGCACTTCAAAGCCCACACATTATGAAACTTTTATAATTCCAAAGATAATAGAATTGGGTGAGTGTTATCAGAGGATACAAGTACTTATCCCAACTCCTTGGGCCCAGTTGTGCCTTGAAGGTCAGAATTTTTTTTTATTTTAGAGAAACAATACATTGCATATATCAATATATTACCCACTATTTCTGTGGGGTCAGAGACAGCACCCTGTAATTGAACACAGTATTTTTCTGTAGTGAAACAAATGAAGAGTCACACCAGATAGATTAAATGAAAGCTATAAGTATATTCATGTCAAGTCATGTTTTGCTGCCAAATTTGTTTTCAAAAGCTTTTTATTTTGCAAGTAATGGGTTGTGAACCTGAATATCTTATTTTCTGGAATCATATCCAATAATTAAGTACAATACAATATATTTTAAAGAATCCTTTATTTTTTTTTCCTTCGTAGCAGAAATAAACCATAATGACTTAAAACCATTTTCCTTATGAATCTGAATATCTGATGTTCATTTGGGTTTGTATTAAAATGGTTCTGTCAGTCAAGAGGCTCAAAGCCAGGGAACGGTGGAGCCTAGCTTGCTGACTGATACCGGCTTTTATGGTTGGTGGGCGGAAAATCCTGCAGGATCCCAGCAAGTGGTTCATCCATTCTGATGTCCTTTTAAGGATCCGGGTTGTAAGAGATTGCTGTGCAGGATCTGTTCTGAAATATGTTAGAAGGATTTAAGGAAAGCAAAACTCCTCTTTGAAGTCTAAATTCCATTCGCTTTTATCTGCCTAGAAATTTGCTTAGAGGTTTTACAAGTTGATGTCGGCAAATGTACAAAAATTTGTGAGCACAGATTTATCTTCAGGTTTGAGTGATCAAAAATGTAAATTTAAACTTCAACTTCATTCATCCCTTCCCTCATCAAACATGTACTCGAAACCCTATAAGTGACAAAAACTGTGGTAGGTGTTTAAGCCAGTGATGACTAAATCACAGCCCTGCCCTCAGGGACTTCACAGCCTGGTGAGGAAGACTGTAAGTAAGCACCCTGAAGACTGCCCCCTTTCTCAAGGCTAGCTCCTTCTGGCCCCCTAGGTCTCACTGAAACACCATTCCTGTGAGAGGTTGGCCCTGACCATTGGACCTAAAGTCCCTCCCCTCCCCAGTGTCTTCCTGTCATCTCACTTGTTATTTTTCATTTTATGTACTTCACTAGGACCTAATCTCCATTAAAGATATCTTTTATGATGCTCAAAGCAGTGGAATATCATTGTATGGTTTTAGGCACGGCCATATTAACATTTTAGAAAGACCTTTCTGCCTCTAGTGTGGAGAAAGTTCTGAAAGCAGGACATTGTTAGAAAAAGACTAGTTGGGAGGCTGTTGCTGATAAGAGATTACAGTGATGTGGGCTAGGCTGTCTGTCCTGGATTCAAGGAGAAGCTGATGAGTTTGGGAGAATTAAGTAGGAAGAGTCCAAAGGATGTGTGATGAGCTGAGTGTTGGGGATCATTAGCAGTGCTCTTCAGATACATGATTTAGGCACAGGTGAGATGGTGGTGCTCTTAATGGAGAAAGGAACATCTCGAAAAACCCAGATTTGGACTCCAAAGGGTATTTGTTGAGTATGAGTCACTGTGGGAGATTGGAGTAAACGTGTCCACTGGGAAGTTGTATAAAAGTGTCTAGAGTTCAGAAGAGACAGAACCTATTCCAAAGGTAGTAGGGAGCCATTGAAGGATTTCCAATAGAGAAGGGATACCATCTGATCTGTATGTCAGCCATATGGAATGTTTTGGAGGAGTAAAACTAGAGATATGGAAATTGTTGAAGAGGCTTTTGAAGTAATTCAGGTAAGAAAATACAGGTGTCAATAGTGGGAGGTATGTAGGAGAAGGAACAGATTCAACATACATTTAGGACGTGGAAAGAATTAAAAATCATTTTGGGGGTGTTAAATAATCCTCCCAGGCTATGGCTAAGGGATCCACTGTTAGGAGTGCAGAAGGAGGAGCAGATTTCAGGAGGGATGGGAGAGGCAGGTGGTACTTTCAGTTTGGGATATATTTTTTGTGCCTATTGGTGCCATCAGTAGAGTTTGAGGTTCAAGACTTGTCTAGACTGGAGAGGGAAGTTTTACAGTTGTCAGTGTGTACTTGGTAGCTGAAACTCCAGTGTAGAGAAGCTAATTTATTTGTTATACCGAGAGACCCCAGTCCTTTCAATTCATCAAATTAAGGGGTTAGCAAAAGACAAATGATAAAACCTCATTGCCTACAAAGGTACTCCAGGGCCTCTTGTTAGCGATGCTGCCCATGGCTTATTCCAGAAGGTCCTTTGGAAAGGATGCCCCTGGTTCACTATCAATAAAAATAGAAATAAACAGAAGCCAAGAAATTCTTGTATATATTCCCAATAGAGCTCTTTTGTTATTTTAGCCCATTGATTTCCATGTTGAAATCACATCCACCCAACATAGAAGTATGTCCCCAATTCACTATGACCAAGGCAAATTGTAGTTTCTGTGCCTAAAGCACGAATATCTTCATATTCAGTGCAGTAACATTACAGAACTTTTCCTGAGTCAGAATGTATAGCGCAGGATCCTCAAAATATGGAGACATGTTAACATTCTTAAGCTATTTCACCGAGAGTGTCTTGAGATATATATTCATAGAAAAGAAAGCCCACCTTGATTGTGTCAGTTAGGCGGGGTGGGGAGGGGTGGGGGGGTATCTGGTGGCTCCATTCTCAACATCACACTAGACTCATTGGTTTATCCTGAGTCTCATTGTCAAGGGACCTAAATGTCAGAGCATGAATCCTGGCATTAGTGTAAATTGCTGGGTCATTTTATCATAATTTTTTAAAATTATGTTTTGTAATGAGATACTCCCATTTGAGAGCAATCTTATATTTTTTTTTTCCTGAAAAAAGTATTTATCTTTGAATCTTAGGTCACAAATTTCTCAAATAAGCCATATATGTCAGCGTAAAATTCTGTTAAGTCCCTCACTCCTTCATGAAGTCGCCCCTTCTCTCTTCAAACATTTCAATATGAACAAGTCTCTTGTAGCTTCTGTGAATCATCTTGTCCTTGAGAGTGGTTTCTGTGGTATAAGAAGATTGTGATTTTTAAAAAATATTGAAATTCCATCTTTACATGAAGTCAGCGAACATAGGATTAATAGCACGTGCTAGTCTCTCGAGTATAGTTTGTATTATGTAAAGGCCAGAGCTCTTTTTTTTTTTAAGAACAAGAGATATTCCAGTTTCCTGTCTTAGAACAATGCTAATAGTTACCACTTATTGAGTGCTTTTAGGGGCGAGTATTAAAACAAAGATTTGCACGTAGATTGTCTCATTGAATGCTTCCAAGAGCTTCATGAAGGTTTGGTTTTCATTGTCCCTGTTTGATGGATGAGGAGTGGAGAGTCACAGCCTTAAAGTGACTTTCTCAAGGTAACTCCATAGGAAGTGATGGGGTTGGGTTTTTACTTCAATTTTTTATTATAAAAATTGTCAAGTATAATTAAGAGCTGGAAGCACAGTTCTGTTACCCCCTAGATTTAACAGAGGTAACTTTTGGCCATTTTTGATGAATCTATGTAAGTGTGTGTGCGTGCACATACTATTTGAAAGCAAGTTGCAGACATCATGACAATTCACCC